TACATGCAAGCCTACACATGACCATGAGCAATTTCCCGCTATTTATAAGCATTGTAGGGTAAGTTGCTTCAAAAAATGTAATTAATTACTATTTACAAATGACATTAAAATTGTTTATAAATTACTTGGTAACACTTTATAATAACTACACACTATGAATCATTTATTAAGCAATAGCATCTAGTGAATTCATTATTTGTTAAGCATTAACTCTACATTAATAAACACTTGTAAGCAGTTTAAAACTGCAGCTAAAAATGCTCTATTCTTGGCTTATAACCACATGATGTGCTTAACTGTTTCACAAGTTTAGACTGGTTGATTTTTCATTATTTAATTATTGCGTTATTTACAAGCCATTTGTATTTAAGAGTAATTGGCGGTTTTTAAGATCATTCAGACTCTTAAGTTTAAATTTAAGTCAAACATTGCATTTGGGTTAAAAAAAAACATTTTAAAAACAAACATAGCATGGCTGCACGGTGGCGCAGTGGATAGCATGTTCACCTCACAGTAAGAAGGTTGCTGGTTCAAGCCTTGGCTGGGACAGTTGGCATTTCTGTGTAGAGTTTGCATGTTCTCCCTGTGTTTCTTCCGGGTGCTCCAGTTTCCCCCACAAGTCCAAAGACATGTACAGGTGAATTGAGTAAGCTAAATTGCCTGTATGTGTGTGAATGAGTGTGTATGGATGTTTCCCAGTTATGGGTTGCAGCTGGAAGGGCATCTGCTGCTTAAAACATATGCTGGATAAGTTGGCGGGTCATTCTGCTCAGGCAATCCCAGATTAATAAAGGGACTAAGCCGAAAAGAAAATGAATGAATGAATAAATGAATGAATGAACAAACATAATAGATATTAAGGTAAATACAAATTATCATAAATAAACTATTTTAAAGAAATGACACCGTAACTCATATCATATATTGTCATTGGCTAATTTCTTATTCCATTCATTGTTTCTTAGCCTTAGGCACATGCAATTGTCTAACAAATGTAACCATCTGCAGTTGAAAATTATAATTATTCTGCAGAATATCTGAATAAAAAACACAAATTACTCTGCTTCACTGAATTCATCCCACATATTTTCATGAACTAATGTCTGACTGATTCATTGTTCAACCGTCTTGATAAATGTAACTTCATTTCGAATTATTCTGCAAAATATATTTGTACTATCCTTCGGCTTTGTTCCTGCTTTATCAAGGGTCGCCGGAGTGGAATAAACCACCCAAAATATATTTGTACAAAAATGAGAAAAGGAAAAAGCGCATACAAACTCTGCTTCTGTAAGACGACTTATATTGAACTGTTGAGTTTACTTACAATATTTAAGGCAAATACATTATATGATGGTAATTAATACATAAAAATAACAGTAAGCCTTATTTTAGTTTTTTTTTTTCACAGCAAGCCATGATACATTCAGTATTACTGTTACAGAAAATTACGTAAGGTGTAAAATAAGAGGGGAAGGGTCTTGACAAAACATAAGTGGTCACAAGAGAACATGCTGATATCAAGTGGAGACAGGCCTTCAGACAATACTGATCTTAACTTTGAAAATACATCTCAACTACAAGTCATCAGTGTACTATTAGCAGATGTTTTGCTTAATATCTGCTTACACTCTATTTTGATTTCTCCCCAACAGTCATTTATACTGAACTCTGCAAATATGCAACTTATTCTACCTGCAATCTAATCCTCTAATGTGAGTTAAGGAAGTTGCAAGGTTAAATATAGAGCAGCCAACAGAATGTCTAATGGGAAGCATCAAAATGTGTAACTGAATATCTGATGTAAAATGCGTAACCTGTCTTACAGCTTAATCCACTGTGATCCAGCCTTTGCGAGTTATTTTAAATAAGCTTAGTTAGATTTCAGTTTTGCTTCATGGTTCTGATGCCCAGATCAGTTTGTTCAGTGATCCATAGCCATGCGGTGCTACAGTATTTTCAGTTTAATGAGTCTTAGAGATAGCATACAGGTACTATGTGTTATGAAATATGCATATAGTATGTACTTTACTGCTTATAAGCATAAAAAATTAGAGAAACTTTGGGAAATGGCCAGCATTTACAAGACTAATGGCTAATAACAATGTTTTTGTGCATGTCAGAAAGCTGATACTGCCATCAACTGGTCAACATGTTACATTGACTGTTTGATGACTCAGTTTTCATGTATAAAACATCAATAAACAGTAAAATGGTTTAAGGACTTACATACTCTGAAACTTAAATAAATGTCCAGTACATACATAGTCGATATAAATGTCCAAATTTACAAACAAACTACCTTGTTTATCTATTTATCCACAAAACACCTTTCTAGAACTATCGTTCCTGTTTTTTGGCTGCTTAATGTTTATTTATTTATTTATTTTATTGAAAGCATAATTTGAAGCTCAACAAGGCTGCATTTAACTGATTTAAAAAAATAAAAATAAAATAAAATAATAATAATAATAATTAATAATATTAATATATTATATACATTTACATATACATATGCTTATATATATATATATATATATATATATATGTGCTCAGCATATATGAGTAAATACACCACCCACAAATCTCTCATTTAAATTGATAATTTATATAGGATGCTTAAAAATATTGTGAATACATTTGTTTATTCAGTACTGAAGCCAAATGTGGAACTAATCTAAAAAAATAACTTACAATAATAGTTTAAAAATTAGTAGCCCAAATGTATATGTTAGGGAAAATATTAAATACAATTTTCAAAATTGCAAAAATCAAGAGAAACCAAAAACAATTATAATTTAGCTGAAATTTTGTAGTTTTGCAATATTTTGAATGAATTTAAATGTATTATCTTTCCATTTCTAAAGATGTTCCATAACTAAAATATTGCTTTAATAAATAAATGTTTAATAAAACTGTTTTTTTTTTTATGCTCCAATACGTATTACCCATATTCAATGTGAAATGGATAAAATATTCTTTGCAATAAATTCATTTTCAAAATCCGGTGTACCTATTTATGATGAGCATTGTATATCATGGAAAATAAAAATGTACAATTTAAATGCCACAATTGTACCATATAAATATGAACATTAAGTTCTAGCTTTGCAAGATCACACTAGTTTTATACTGTATGTATCAGTGATATTATAGTCTCCTTTTTGTTTATATAATTTATATATTTTGTTTAAAAATGTTTATATATAAATAAAGAAGAAACACAAAAATTAGAGAATATCATACCTTACGTTGCAACACAAAATAAAAATAACTGAAAAAACTGAACACGTATGATTACAGAATAAAGGTTCAAGTATGTACTAGGTGGACAATTCATTAACCAATGAGCAATGTATATAGCATAGCAATATAGCATGTGACATACGTTAGAAAACATCAATGATGAGTTATTAATACATATCATGCACACTATATTCCTTTCATCTAATCAAAATAGCTGTTGGAAGAAATTAAAGTGCCACTATTAGACATCATCTTTTTCCCATACCTAAAATGTGTTGATCATTGTATTCTAGGAGTAGCTCTCCATGCATTTTCTTGAATAAAAGTATCCAACGACATCTTTAGCTCTCTGTGCGGTTGCGTTGAATAGTTTCTTTAGACTGCACCTCATGTAAGAGTATTTAGCATTATTGTTTTACCAAATGATCCCCAGCGGTCATTGTCTGTGAGATGCATGAGGCCCATGAAGGGAACACTTAACTTTAAGACACAGTAATGTTGTAAAACAATGTAATGTATGGTATCAACAAACTGCTCATGCACTTGTGTAAGGAAGCAAGCTATGGGAAGGGTGTTTTATAACTAGCATACACAATTAATCAGGGATTCATGTCAGACGGTAAAGGCAGCTGGCACGTTTATGGCCATAAGCCAGATTTGCATACAATCAAACCTGCGGAAATGGCCCTGGATGGGGTTTATGCTGTTTAGCATAGTTAGCGTTTCCATTTTGATGTACTATAGTGTGAAATGTGCTCCAATTCAACTGTTGGCAAGCATCTCACAGTGTAGTCTGAGCGTTTGAGCATGAAAATTAGCCAGCGACCCTCAGATGCTCCTGTGGCCTCCAAGTTTAACAGAAGAGTAATGCAGTTAATAAGACTGGATACTGCAGAATAAACGTTATTCTAAAATACATGGGTGGGTGGATCTAGTCAATTTAATGGAAAAATACCACAGAGATAATGTGGAAAGAGAATGAATGAGAGCAAAAGAGCAGAACTGAGTAATATTAACTTAAATAAAAGTAATTAAAATAATATTTTGGGTGTATGGCTTTGCATACTTCACCATAAAATAAAAGTTGAGTTAACTTACATCCTTATCTATTTCAAAGATGCATGACTTTAATTGTTGGTGGAAAATGAAAGCAATAAACTGTTTTTGGTGGCTCAAAATATAATATTTTAAATAATAATTACTTATCTACAACATTACTAATTATTATTATTTAATATGATAGTACAATAGTAATTATGTCACAGGAACTGCTATAGCTAAGTTACCAGAAGAACAACTCCATGCTGCTTTTTGTATGAACTAGATCTGTGAATTGATATTGCATACTCTGCTCTTAGCCTAATATATATATATATATATATATATATATATATATATATATATATATATATATATATATATATATATATATATATATATATATATCAAATAAAAAATTGCACACAATGATGGAGACAAATCTCAAAGAGCAAATTCAGAGTGTGGGGTTTAAAAGTTAAAACTTAAATAAAAATTGTATGTTAATATGCAGCTAAATTGTTGGTTGTAAACGTTGTTTTGACGAGCTCATGGCATTGTCTGTCTCAAAACTGCTGTAGACAAAGACTATACACTATAATAATACTACATAGAGAACGGCTGCCTTATGTAATCAAGAGGTGGCGCTGTTTCCCTGAAAACCAACAATTTTAAACTCAGCGTGTGGGCTGCAGGCAAACTTACACAAAGGAGAAAGTCTCAAGTTAGCAGAGACCTCTTCATTGGAGAGAATAGGCTTCGTGAAAATGCACTTTTTACTATTTAGAGCAGACTCGTATTGTATATTTCCGGGGATGATTGCGTCTAGAAAAAAAGGTATTTTGTCTGTTGACCAATCAATCTAACGTGCGTGAAGCACGTGGTTTTATCGCGCTCAACTTCCTTATATCATCAACCTGAATGTTTACTCTACACTAGACTAGAGCATGTTGAGCATTAACTGACATCTGCGGATAGATTTACGTTTCTGACAAGCCTAAGTGATCTATCCCGTCCAGGGTGCAGGTAGGCATTCGTAATAGTTCAGCTTTTAAATATATTCAAAAACGGGGTGATACATTGAATGTTATTGCGTGGAAGAGCGACCATTGCACTACAGTACACTAGTTTGATAGGCACAATACTGTACAAGGTTTTCAGAGCCTTCAGCAGAGTTACTGTTTATACATCATTTTCGATAATTTCCATAATTTATTTATTTATTTTTTTTGCTAATCAAAACAAATCAAATACAATAAAATATGAAATAAAAAAATGAAAACAAAGTAAAAATATTTGAAAAATCACATAAAATAAAAACAGGTAACACTAAAATTTTTGAATAGTATAATTTAAACATAAATTAACAAATTAGTTAAAAAAATTCAGTGCTGGTTGAAAATATATAATACGTGACACTGGACAACAAAACTAGTCAGGTGTCATTTTTTTTGGAAATTTAGATTCATACATCACTGTAAGCATAACAAATACATTTCTAGCCTAATTGATGTAAGGTTTGTGTTATGGTAGGACAACTTTTTGAAAATCTGGAATCTGAGGGCTAAAAAAAATTTTGAGAATTAAGTTAAGAATTAAATTAACAAAAATGCTAATTATATGTATAATAATTTGTTATATAAGTTTTTAATATTTGCAGTTGGACATGTACAAAATTTCCGCATAGAATATTATATTTACTTAATATTGTAATTATTTTTGCCTTAAAAGGAACATTTTGACCCATTCATTTCCACATATACCTGTGCAACATAAGATTGTTTTCGTGATCCACAGTCACATATCAAATGAAACGTTAATACAAAACAATAGTGAACAAAACAAATGCGATTGTTGGCTAATTAAAATAAATTAAATAAAAGTTCAAATGGTATAATTACTTAAACTAATAATTAAACTAATATGAAATGAAAATAATATTTTGTGGGGGAAAACAAAGATGATGAAAACAAGTAACACAGTTATTACTTTATTTAAAGTAAAACATTTAATTAATTTAAAAAAAATAAATGTAAGTTAAAAATGTTGAAAACAAAAATGAAAGCTAATGCAATTTGTCAGTAAAGCACCCAGTGAGTTTTCACTGGTGATTAAATGACAGTTGACAGTATACCTTTTAGACCCCTCTCTCTCTCTCTCTCTCTCTCTCTCTCTCTCTCTCTCTCTCTCTCCCCCTCTCTCTCTCTCTCTCTCTCTCTCTCTCTCTCTCTCTCTCTCTCTCTGTGTGTGTGTGTGTGTGTGTGTGTGTGTGTGTGTGTGTGTGTGTGTGTATATATATACCCATGGTTTTTTTTTTCAGTTTAAATGTTGAAGGACACCACGTGTTCTTTGTCCATCTATTTTTCGTTTTTATTGCCTTCTTTCACTTTCAGGCTGTACAATGAAATCCTTTCAATGGATTCCCTGCACTTTCTGTCTGCTGCTCTATACTGCTGATGCCGGCAGTGGTACAAAACCTAATTTTGTCTTTATGATGGTGGACGATTTAGGAATTGGAGACCTTGGATGCTATGGAAACACAACTCTCAGGTTTATTCATTAAAATACAAACAAAATATCAATTAATTTCCTTTTTAACTTTTTATTTCTTATTCTGAGGCCTGACAGAAAATCCACATGACTGCTTATAGCCAGCAGTATGTGTTCATCATGTGAAATAATGTACAGTAAGGCCCTCAGTGTCAGTTAGATCCCAGAGCATTAAATGTTGCTGTGTAAGATTGGTTTAAGATCAGTGGATTTGATATGGAAGGGATTTTCCTTTTGCTTGGTTCATATAAGGCTATGTTTTAAAGATGAAAAAAGATATATAACATAGAGGAATAGACTTTTATCTCACAGGCACAATGAGGTTTTGTTTTGTTGTTGTCCTGACCTGCAGGACGCCCAACATTGACAGACTGGCTCTGGAAGGGGTGAAACTGACCCAACACATTGCTGCTGCGCCACTCTGCACTCCCAGCAGGGCAGCCTTTCTCACAGGCAGATATCCCATCCGATCAGGTAATTTGTTTAACACTGTTGAGATTTGTGTTTCTAAACATTATTGTTTATATGAGCAATTCCTTTTTAAATGGCAAAACAAAAACAGCATAATAGCAATATTATATAAAGTTATACTGTAAAAATGATGGCAATTTTAACAGAGACACATTTTTAACAGAGAAAAGCATTAGTCAATAGAATAAATATAAAATATTTTAAAGGAAAATAGTCTATAGAATTTTCATAAACATAAAATAGTGTTATTGCATTACTGAATATGCAATATTTGTTATGTTCCTGTTTTGCATTTTGAGTGCTGTGATTGCATTTTGTGATTTGCTTTCTGCTTTTAGTGGTTGCCATTGCCAGGGTTATATATATATATATATATATATATATTAGGTTGGTTTAACAATGAATTAATTAAATTTGTGGTACTAGTAGGTCAAATAAGTACTTTAGTCAGTTATCTTTAACATGCACTGAAAACAAATATTCATTGGATTTACTAAACAGTTTTATGTGCTAAATTTAAACAAACAAATTAAAATTAACTTACTTAATTTTATTTGTTTTAATTCAACCCATATACATTCCTTGCAACCAGTTACTTCAAAGAAAAGTTGTAAATCCAATGAATCATATACTTTTTAAGTCTACAAACATGTGAAAATGTTAGGAAAACCTACAAAATTTCTGATTTTCCATATCAGGGCATGCAAAAATTATCTGATAATTAGCAATAAAACCTCAGGTGAACAACAACATAAAAGTAAGTTAGGCACAACTTACTAAAATACCATGTGCAACACAGATCAGAATGTCTGTTCATCAGCTAATGTTGTAGCAGTTTGTTGGTCTGGAGCTGCATGTTAACACCAAGCCCATCCCGTAGCTAAAACTTAGCCAAAAGTGGGTCATGCAACAAGACAATGCCAAGCACACCAGCAAATCTACAACGGAACCACTGGGGAGAAAAATGGTGTTGCAATAGTTCAGTCCAAAGCTGATCTTTTCCTTGCTTTGGCAATACTGGGCAGAAAGCAAAAAAAAAAAAAAAAAAAAAAAAAAGAAAGAAAGAAAGAAAACTCACCAGAATGAACTGAGAGACTGATGAGATTATACAGAAATTGATTAAAGTATTGCTACGAAAACTGGATCTGCTACAGGCATCCGAATCAGTGGGTGTCCTAAGTTTCGCTTTACTTCTGTTAGTAAATACTGACACTTTTATGATGTTGTTCATCTGAGTATTTACTTTCTAAATTGTAAGATCAATACAATATTTTAGCAATGATTTTTTTAGTTCATGTGCAGCATAATTTATTTATTTTTTTAAATGCTAAAGGTATGGCAGCACATGGCCATATGGGAGTGTTTCTCTTTTCTGCATCGTCAGGAGGTCTTCCACAAGAGGAAATCACCTTTGCCAAGGCTGTCAAGGTGCAAGGTTATTCCACCGCTGTAATTGGTATGTTACTTGTTTAACCCTGGTTATCTGTTAACAGAGTCCGGTACAGTATGTCACTGTGGGAAATGCCTCAGGCGTGACCGACCACAGTAGCACACTTGATAGTATGTGTGGTGACTGACCGACAGGTTACAGCGGTGACAAGAGAGCCTCACCTGCTGTCACCTGTCAGACCATGATTCTTAGTATATCTCCTCTTCATTCTGACTGCGGGAAGGGAAGTGTGCTGATAACTGTTATCCAAGAATTGGACACAGTTATCCTTAAAGGCATAGTTCACCCAAAAAATGAGAACCAACTTACCATTTACTCACACTCAAGAGGTTCCAAACCTTTCTTTTTGTCTGTTTAAGACAGAAAGTATTTTGAAGAATGCTGGGAACTGTTAGCCCATGACGCCTAAAAATAATAATAATATGGAAGTCAATTCCCAATATTTTTCAGAATATATACAGTGCCTATAGAAAATCATCTTATTCCTGTGAAAATATTACTCACAATACTTCAAGTTGTAGAAAGTTGTAGAAAGACTGCAAAAAGGCTACAAAAAACATTTCAAAGGCTGGTAAAGTTATTTGGAATGTGATTTGATTTCAGACTGCATGTATAACCAATGCAGTAATTATTTCAAAGGGCTATGATGACTTTTCTTTAGGCAATGCGTATAGTATGAATAATGTTATACAAATAATAAATGTGATTAAAAATCATGTTTTAAAACATTAGACCTACTCAGAATGGTTCAGTGATAAACAGGATCCTGACTGAATGCATTCATGTCCAAATTGACTTGGCGCTTACACAGAATCTTTCTAATTATATAAAGTTAAAATTAAACTAAGAATTCAGAATGATTTCTTAAGCCTCCCTCTAGTTACAAGCTCACATTTTTATAATTTAGTGTCAATAGTGTTTGAGCCATTAGACAGAACATTCATCCATCATTCTATCAAATGCTTATCTTCTGTAAGGTGACTGGGACTATGGATATGCTGAAGCCAATATATTGGGTAGCAGAAGGGGAAACCCTAAATGGGTGGCCAGTACATTACAGAGCTGGAAAAAGTAATCTAGCAATTTTTTTGCAATAATTATTAAATATATATATATTCCAAATAACAACAATTACTCTTTAAAAACTTTTATATTTAATTGAAACATTTATTTTTCAAAATCACATCCCAAAAAATATTACACTTGGACCACACTATACACTATGGATGGGTGCCAGCACCTATTAATGTGGGAGCGAGAGATTGAGTCGTGCACTCGAGTAAATTATGATGACGATTTTTATGCGTTCACTAGAGGGAATAATATGATTAACATTAGCTCCATAGCTAACGATCAGGCATTTTTAGAGTTAATGCTTTTCAGTAAAATATAAACAAATAAAATGGAGACGGTGCTTTTTAAAACTAATGACAGTGAATGAATGAAAGCCAAACCGGTGAGTCGTCTGACAAAAAAGTGCCCTTCTGAATCAAATCAGCTGGATTCCCACTTACTTTGAAGGCTACTGACTAGGTTGACATGGACATGAAAAAAAAAAAACTTCCGCATTTCGCAATGTGTTTGTGTGTGGTCCTTTACTGACAGCCACGTTTGTGGATCTTGTCACAAAATGCGTAATGCCACTAATATATGCATAATCCACGTCCTAATTTCTGTTTAGTTTAATTATTACTTTAGTCGGATGTAGGTAATCAAAAATCGCTGTTTACTCGGTAGACTCTTGATCAGATTATTGTCTTAATCATATTAAAATCGTATTAAAGTATTGTTGCCCGTGTAAACATACTGAATGTTCGACTCAACCACACCGTCAGGACACTGCGAACTTGGCTTTGTGAAGCAGCATTTTCTGTATGTATGTACATCAAAAGCAAGTATGCTATGTTTTATGCTTCTTGACAGTTGAAGATGATTTACGGTTAGTCATGTCAGGAATCCGACCACAGATTAGCATGTTGTCCTCACAGACAAAGGCTCAGCCATCACACTGAATCAGGTAAGTGTAGCGCATATTCAGTGGTGTTCGATTTGCTACTTGTATTTAACGCTTCAAAATCGCCTGGACCAGCAATCAGAAAAAGGGATTAGACTCAGAGCACAAAAAAAAAAAAGTGAGTAGAATATGTGTTAGTATACTTTATCAATCACACAGTTTAAACTAAACTTAAATAAACCAGTAACTGAAAATTTGATAAATTGTCCAATAATAATTCACTCAGATACTTAAAATTTTCAGTAAGTGCAGAAATAACAAAAATATAAATACAAGTAATTTGAATAGTAAGACCACAAATTAAAGAAAAAGATGTCAAAAGTTAAATGCAAAGTTCAGGTAATTCAATAAAGACATAGTTCCATCAAACTCAAAGTCCAGTGTTCCGTTCGGGCTTAGATACAAAAAAGTCCGGGCTCTTATGGTCCAGTTCAGTTTGCAAGAAAGAAGAAAAAATATAGCAGTGTTCCTCAAAGATGAAAAAGATGAACATTTAAATCCAAAAAAAAAAAAAAAGTAAAAAAATATATATGTGTAATCCACAAACGTCCAGGTAGCAAAACTTGGAAAAATATAAATCAAATATTGGATCCTACCAGATTTGATGACTGACCTCTTTTTGTCTCTATCACCAGTCACAAAAGGATGGGGTGGCTCGCCATGTATACACACACACACACACACACACACACACACACACACACACACACACACACACACACACACACACACACACACACACATATATATACACACATACACACACACACACACACACACATATATATATATATATATGTGTGTGTGTGTGTGTGTGTGTGTGTGTGTGTGTGTATATGTGTGTATATATATATATATATATATATGAAGAGTTTCTGAATGTTTTTTATGAGAAAAAATAATATACATTTCTTGTAAAGAATCAGAACTTGCGGACAAGAAATGTAGATGATAATGAAAAACAGCTTTCTGAGGAAATAAATATTAAAGTCTAATACATTTGTCAGGTCTCTCAATTTTGTCAGTTGTTGAGTCTCAAAATGTCAAGTATTACTGTTATTTTCTCACAGTATTAAATAAATATCAAGTTAACTTGTTAATAATTGCTGAATTTTTAAGCCGTGTACATCTATTGAGCTTGCGCTCTCTCATTCAAGTTCAATCGCATTCTGTCTGTCTGTGCGCACATTCAACAGGGATGGAGCTAACCTCCGGAGTTTCAAGTCTCTCATGAGTTTTATAATTTTTCTTCTTATTTTTTTATTTGCAGAGCAAATTTCTATTTCTTCCTAAGTATTTTCGTAAAAATCGTAAGATAAATTAATCACTTATGTAAAGCTATTTATTGATCTGGGTTTCATAAGGTATTTATGTTTCAACGTTATTAATGCTACGCACTTTAAACGCAGCAAGTAATATGTGAATGATGTTTGCGTATGCATTATAATTTTGGCTCGAGGGAGGGGTGCATGGGGGCATGTGAGTGAAATTGGACAAACTTAAGGGGGCGTGTGTCCTAAAAGTTTGAAAACCCCTGTGCACTTTGGCAAGGAACAGACACTTTTGTAAAATAAAAAGAAAGAGCAGTAGTGGTAAAATGTTTAACAAATGGATGCAAAATTGCTTCATTCATTCAATTGTAGTTTTTATTGTCCATTTTTTTTTTAATCTGCCTATTTTTCATGACATACCACTGGATGAATAGTTGGCAGCTAAAGAATTGGTGGCTTACCTCAGGGACAAATGCACAAGCAGGAGTGACTACTTTTCATTTGTAGAAAATCTGGTTCAAAAGGTGACAGGTACAGAGTGTTCTGAACCTCAATGATTTTAGAGTTGTTGTTGTTGTTTTTTTTTTAATGATGTATGTCCTTCATAAAATTACATACCTGTATCTCTCTCACACTTTAGTTGCCAGATGATTAGTGTTGAACATAATGACTGTAAATGTGCACTCCTTCATTCACCTGCCAAACTGTGCAGCTGTGGGGAGTGGGTGCCCACCTGCTAATTTAGGCCCATGTGTGCCACTGCTGTGGTGTTTCTGATCTGACCAGAACATTTTTTTTTTCAGAAAAAGTCTGCTGTGATTCAAAACCAAAAACAGTTCAAATAATTTGTATGTGTCCATTGAAATTAAGGAGAACATAAGTCTTTTTCTGTAATGTTCTCAGCACAATTCTCAGTTCTCCATTATCATTTCCATCCTAACAAGAAGTTAATATTTTCAAAGTTCGCAAAAAAAATCCCAAATGCAAATTATCAGGATTTCCATCAGGTTGTTAGAGAAGCTGACTGTAGTATTTTAACCTAGCAACCAACAGTAAACAAGGCAAGCATAATGGAGACTGCTGATTAGTCATGTGGGTGTGATGTTCAGGATGTCAGAGTTTATTCAACAAATGTGTTTCCCACCATGGCCAGGAAGTGCAAAACAACATTACAAAAAGTGAAACACTTTTACGAAGCTCGAGACAAATTTACATTTTGAAGAACATTTTTACACAATTACATAGAAAAAAACAATTTGACCAAAGACAAAACATATTTACATTTTAGAAAATAAATTAACAAGACGCAAAACACTTTTACCAGTAACATATTATTGTAATTAATAATTAAGTCATATATCATTGTAAAACGCATTTACAATGACAGATTCCTTACGGAAAGGGAATATACCACACACCGGAAGTGTTGCGGAATGTACTTGTGTGTGACTTTGTTGACACAGGTTAACATGAGTCCAAAGGCACAGGTTACCATGAATCTACAACTATAAAAATTATGGTTTGACCCACTGCGATAAAACATCCTTTTGTCTTTTAGAGCTATTCTGAGAAAATACCAGCGTCCACAACAATTCTGCAACCAAAGCACATCATATGTTGACTAAAAATATCGAAACCGACCTCAATATATATTCCTGAATAGATCAGTTAGGTAAGTCGATTGATACTTGAGCTGAACCTTTTGACACTGAGTTCGAATCCCGTTGATGACACGTAAATTATAAATTTGCCCACGTCGCTTCCGGTGTGTGGTGCATTCCCTTTCCGTAAGGAATCTGTCATTGTACATTTGTTTCAGGACTGATACAAGTGTGTTGCATCTTGTTAACTTATTTTTTAAAATGTAAATTTGTTTCGTCCTTGGTATAAATGTTTTTTAAAATGTCAATTTGTCTCGACCTTTGTAAAAGTATTTCGCACTATGTAATGTTGTTTTGGACTTTCCGGCCACTGTAGTTTCTATCTTATTATTTGCATGAACCCTTTTTCAAAAAAGTTTAAAAGCATCTCAAGTGAGCTTAATCAATACATTTTTTTACTTTTTTTTTTTTTTGTAAATTGTGTATTGTTCAAATTTACTACATTAAATAAAATTTGCAAAAAAAATAAAATAAAATAAAACTGTAAAAACTTGCAATTTGTAACTCTTTTGGTCTTCCCAAAAGGGAAAACCACCAACAATCAAGAAAGCACAATTATATGGGGTCATTACTTTACAATAAAAAAAAGTAAAGTGGATATAATGGATGTAAACGGGGCAAAACTTTCGTTACCAACATAATGAAAATGTAGCAAATTTGTTCAGTGTATTGCTGAGTTTTTGTAAAAATTCCAAAGTGTTTCCCAGAATATGTCAAAATAAGAATTGTCAAGAAAAATCTTTCCACTGGGCGAAACACGGAGGAAATTTTGTCTAAATTAAGACTCAAAATCACCCCAGAGGGGATGAAAACATCCCCAACAGCATCCCCAACGCCCCATTCACACGGAGCATCAGCTTCAACGCTTCCTATTCAATTTGAATGGGTGACGTCAGGCGTTGCAGAACTGCATTGTGGATCCGTCGGCGCCGCTTCAGTGGTGTTGCTCGCTGCAAAAGTTGGGACTTGCTCAACTTTTCAATCGCCGATGGAAGCGTCAGCCAATCAGATCGCTGTATTCAAATACACCAGCTCAGACAGTGGCCTATTGCTAACTACTTTCATTGGCTAATGCTGCTATGACGATCGCGCCAGCCCCAACTTCAGACACACTTTCTGTCAAGCGTTGATGCTGAAGCCCCGTGTGAATGGGGTGTTAAGGGTTAAGGATTTTTATAAGATTTGTCATTTTCATCACTCGCTTCTCATGTAATACTTTAAAATCTGCATTAACATAGACAAATGGAATCCCAGCTATAGATTTCATTCCCTGAATCTGACTTTAACTAGTTTCCAGTTTTTGAGAGGTCTTGCTTGCAAGCTGGGAATCTGATCGGTCAGTTGATGTGAAAGTGGGAACACAAATACTGTGTTGCTGTCTGGTGCAGAAACCCTGTCATTTGCTGTAACCACAAGAGAATAGCAGCCCATGTCCAAGCCATTAGGCCCAACAGACTAGGGGCCATTCTGAAGGAATCTGCTAGTGCCTTCCTCGTACTGAGAGGGAGTGCAGAGAAACAGATTGTCTAAATAAGCAGACACTCTCAAACCAGCATTTCTCAAAACGCCTGTAACACCCAAGGGGCTAGAGGAGCCCGAAAGTATGTTTGATGTGAGTTTGTTGTTTCAGACAAACCTGGGAAATTTGTAGTTTGCAGGCAAATGTTTATAGAAAAAAAAATGTGTTTAGGAAAAAAAAAAATTCATGAGAAAAAAATATGTTAAGATAAAACTTTGCAAGTGTGACCGTTTATGTATCGTGACATGCATTGAAATAAAGTGAAACTGATACACGTTCCTAAATGCATGTTTAGATTTGAGGATATGACATGAAAAAGATGTCATATCTTCAAGTCTATATTATTTTGTTTTTGCTGCAAGAACAGCAAAAACAAAATAAGCAGACCAACAGACTTTATTTTAATTGTAGATTTGTGTGATAATATAAGTATACTAATATGTAACATGTCATATCTTTGTGTGTCAAAATTTTTTTTAAAATAAAGCTTTGGTTTCCTACAGCATAGGTCTCAAACTCAATTCCAAGAAGGCTGCAGCTCTGCACAGTTTTGCTCCAACCCTAATCTAACACAACTGATCCAACTATCACGGTGTTCAAGACTACTTACTAGTAGCTGATCTAACTAATCAAGGTGTTCCAAGACCAATCCAACTAATCAAGGTGTTCAGGACTACCCGCTAGTAGCTGATCCAACTAATCAATAGCTGCGTCCCAAATGGCACACTATACACTATGTACTAATGCACTATGACATGACTATGTACTTATGCACTTACACACTCAACAGGATAGTATATGTATGTAGTGTCGTCCCAAGTGGCACACTAATGTTTTTTTACTGAGCGGAAATTCAAACCGTTTCCCTAATGACCTTTGACGGTTGCCAAATCCGTAAAATAAATGACCGAATTATCAGATAATACCTGCCGTTAGTATAACCGCATTCATCATCGGGAGGCGCTATAATCACTCTAGTAGAAGAATTTTGCTTTTGCCATCCAAAATAAATAAAGTTATCCAACATGTGCGCCCGATAGCTCCGCCTCTTCCGCTGCGTAAGCAGACCTGCGGTCGTTGAGTGCGTGAAGTGTCTAACATTACAAACTTCATTTTACTGGCTGAATGAGTGCATCATCAGGGTAGTTAAAGTGCACTTATTATTTTTAGAGTTTTCAGTGTGAACACACTACTTACACTATTTATACTACAAAATGGCATAGAAAAGTGCATAAGTATGCAATTTGGGATGCAGGGAATGTATTCAAAACTACTCGCTAATAGCTGATCCAACTAATCAAGGTGTTCAGGACTACTCGCAAGTAGCTGATCCAACTAATCGAATTGTGCAGGACTACTCGCTAGTAGCTGATCCAATTATTTAGGTGTTCAGGACTACTCACTACTAGCTGATCCAACTAATCAGGGTGTTCAGGACTACTCGCAAGTAGCTGATCCAACTAATCAAGTTGTTCAAGACCACTCACTAATACCTGATCCAACTAATCAAGGTATTCAGGAATGCTTGCTAGTAGCTGATCCAAGTAATCAAGTTGTTCAAGACTACTCCCTAGTAGCTGATCCAACTTATCAATGTGTTCAGGACTACTTACTAGTAGCTGATCCAACTAATCAAAGGGTTCAAGACTACTCACTAGTAGCTGATCCAACTAATCAAGCTGCCCAGGACTACTTACTAGTAGCTGAACCAACCAATCAAGGTGTTCAGGACAACTCGCGAGTAGCTGATCCAACTAATCAAGGTGCCCAGGACTACTTGCTAGTAACTGATCCAACTAATCAAGGTGTTCAGGACAACTCGCTAGTAGCTGATCCAACTAATCAAGGTGTTCAAGACTACTCGCTAGTAGCTAATCCAACTAATCAAGGTTTTTAAGATTACTGTCTAGTAGCTGTTCTAACTAATCAAGATGTTCAAGACTACTTACTAGTAGCTGATCCAACCAATCAAGGTGTTCAAGACTACTCTCTAGTAGCTGATCCAACTAATCGAAGTGTTCAAGACTGCTCCCTAGTAGCTGATCTACTAATCAAGTTGTTCAAGACTACTCCCTTGTAGCTGATCCAACTTATCAATGTGTTCAGGACTACTTACTAGTAGCTGATCCAACTAATCAAAGTGCCCAGGACTACTCGCTAGTAGCTGATCCAATTAATCAAGGTGTTCAGGACAACTCGCTAGTAGCTAATCCAACTAATCAAGGTATTCAGGAATACTCGCTAGTAGCTAATCCAAGTAATCAAGTTGTTCAAGACTACTCCCTTGTAGCTGATCCAACTTATCAATGTGTTCAGGACTACTTACTAGTAGCTGATCCAACTAATCAAAGTGTTCAAGACTACTCACTAGTGGCTGATCCAACTAATCAAGGTGCCCAGGACTACTCGCTAGTAGCTGATCCAATTAATCAAGGTGCTCAGGACTACTCGCTAGTAGTCCTGTAGCTTGTAGTAGCTTGATCCAATTAATCAAGGTGTTCAGGACAACTCGCTAGTAGCTAATCCAACTAATCAAGGTGTTCAAGACTACTCTCTAGTAGCTAATCCAACTAATTAAGGTGTTCAAGATTACTCGTTAGTAGCTGATCCAACTAATTAAGGTGTTTAAGACTACTCACTAGTCTTGAACACCTTGATTAGATGGATCAGCTGTGTTTGATTAGGATTGTAGCAAAACTGTGCAGACCTGTGGCCCTCCAGAAAATGAGTTTGAGACCTACAGTATGTCGTACAGTATGCCTTCCACACCAGATTAGAATATGCATTTACTACAAGCAGTACAACACATCTCGCAGTAAACACAGATCCTGACCAGATGCAGAGGAATAGACAAACAAAGTTGAATTTATAGTTTTTTTCTTACACAAAATTATTTTTGGAACTTTGTATGATTATAGTTGAACCACTGAAGTCATATTGATTGTTTTAATGCTGTCTTTTGGTAGTCGCACACCAGATGCGCCATGCTGTGCCACACATATGACAGTTGGCAGTTGGATGCATGTTTGTAATCAATATAATGTTATTTGATATAAAGCTATGCTAACTCACTTCCGAGTTTTTACATACAAATTGACGTCATAGTTCCTCCAATCTATTCTTTTTCTAAAGTAATCTTCACAGAAAACAAAAGAAAAATGTGTGTGGTCTAGAGTGAGCCATTTCCCATATGATATCAAACTGCTTTTTGCTCACTTTAAAGTGATGTTATACCAGCCATGAATTGCTGAATATTATGAACACCTTTTTTTTTTTTTTAGGGAAATGGCACCTTGGTCTTAACTGTGAAGACAGTTCTGACCACTGCCACCATCCAAACTCACATGGCTTCGACTACTTCTATGGTACCATTATGACGCACCTTCGGGACTGCCAGCCTGGACATGGCTCTGTCTTGTATAACGTTTATAGTCACATCCCATTCAAGCCCCTTAGTATCGGTTTAGTTTCCCTAGTAGTACTCCATATTAGAGGGATGCTAACTGTGAGCAGGAGGGTATTTTTCAGTTTTCTGATCCTGGTAGGGCTGGTGCTGAGTCTCTTTCGTTTGTTAGTATACACATTCCCCAATCTAAATTGCTTTGTCATGAGAGGAACGGAAATTGTGGAACAACCATATATCTCAGAAAACCTCACACAAAGGATGACCAGTGAAGCCATAGAGTTTCTGGAAAGGTATGTGTCCAGTTTTTATATTAATGTCAAAGTACAAAAAGCATTTTGCATGAACTCAGTATGAGCTTAACAAATTCAGAAGCTGAATTAATATCAAGGGAAATTATCAGTCCAATTCGAAAGGTCTGCATCGAAATTGAAGGTCTTACTCCAGCCTCTGCATGTTAATTTGATTAACCCTCTGATGGTAGAGTTCACCCAAAAAATAAATTTCTGTCATTATGTACTCCTTTTCAGACCAAACCTGTATTCCAAGGAGACGTTATGAAGAATCAAAGGAATCGGGGTGCTCTATGAATTTGGCCTGGAAGACAATTTTTTTTTTTCAAATGGCAAAAAATAACCATCTAAAAGTATGAGAAATAAATGAATGGTTTAAGGAGATACAGACTAGTAACAAGTCAAATTGTCTACCATTGCAGTAAGACTCAAAACTTTGTAAGATATCTTGAAATAAGAAAAAGAAAGTAAAAATATAACTTAATACAAGCAGTGCATTTAATCTAATTACCTTAAAACTAGGTGGTTAATTGCTTTTTAAATGGTTTACTTTTCTTTCTTTGTGTGAAAATATATTAAAACTAGAGCTATTAAACAGAATAATTCCTCCTTTTCTGATTTAAAATGAGCCAAAGCATTTAAATTTTAATTACTGCATGAATTAAATTAAAATCCCCTACATTATATGCATTTTGGCTTATTTTATTAAAATAAAATAAAGATTGTCAACACAATCTCACGGCAATTCTTAACTTTTTCATTTAGTGGCTAATTCGTATGAATTCTAATTCATTTAGTACAATTTGCTTATCCACCAATGACGGTTGGGTTTAGGGGTGGGGTTAGGTGCCATGCCTCCTTTTTTAAATTATACAATTTCATACGACTGAATTAGCCACTAAACTGGAAAAACGTAAAATACTTACGTTTTCTCGTGAGATCAGGCTGAGATTGTGGGTAAACCACCTTTTTTTAAACATTACTTACCAAATAGGACAAAAAGATAAGCAAACAATCTATCTTTTTTTAACAGTGTGATATTAAAACATTTCCACAGGATCACCTTTCCATCTAGTTTTAATAGTTAACAGTAATCAAACTTAACTTGCTGTTCTGGCTCCAGCTCCAAGCTTAATGTTATAACAAAGAGAAAGAGTGAAGTACAGCAGGATGGATGGATGCTGGAAGAATTATTGCTAGTATGGCTTGATAACTGCTGCTTATATGACACTTGAAATGATGATTGACAGGACTGAGTAAGCAGGCTTCTCGCGTACCTGTATTTGGAACATAATTTAAAACACTAGGCTTCATACACTTGCCAACAGTAAAAATTGTTGTTGAGAAAAACTGGGCATTATGCACTACAAGACAGAGAATCAGACACTGCCAGAATTTTAAGTTGTTTTGGCAGTGTGTGATAGTTTGTTGCTAGGAAACATGTGACAGAAGAAAACAACATTTTCTAAAATGGTCATAAATTATCAAAAACGTTTGAAATGCCAGGAATCACAGTATTTCCATCATTCTATTGACAGGTTTCAGTGAAAACTGCCCCTTATCTACAGGCTTTTGCCAATGTTGAATAATCCAGACTGCAAATCAGAGCAATAGCACTGTTGTCTATTCTAGGCTCAAGGCTTTTAAACCTTGACAAGGACACAAAGGAACTATACATGTTTAATAGTGAATAATGACCACACTTTATTGCATGACTCCAGTAGATTTGAAATAGATTTTAAAATCATATGGACCACACTATAATGGTGCTTTGTGTCATTTTTAAAGTTTGAAAGCATCAGTTCTGAATCATTGTGTGGAAAATTATGACAAGTACAATTCTTCGAAATTTGTGCTCCTACAAGATATATGGAAGACATAAAGCGATAAAATTATGACAGAATTTTTATTTCTTTGGCGAACTGCTCTTTAATCATCCTGAAACTAATAGTTCACCCCAAAATGGAAAATCAATGTCATCTGGAAACTGGCATTTGACTGCTATAGTATTTGTTATTCCTACTATAGTCAATGGTTACAGCATTCCAACATTCTTTTGTCTTCAACAAAGCAAAAACAAAACAAAACTCAAACTGGCTCAAGAGGGTGAGTAAATAATGACAGAATTTTATTTAATTGCACCTTCCCTTCTCCCAAATCTTATATTTATCACAAGTTATATAATTGCTGATAATTCTAGAGTCAAAATGCTTTAAATGAGAATTCTCTCATTGTAGTGTTGTATGTATTATAGGGGACTGTAAAAATGTCATCAATAAAGCCTTATGAAAACTCACATAAAAGCAAATCCCTCTCAGCCAGACTCTAAATCCTGATCTGATGGGATAATACAATCCTTAGACTGCGTGCTTTGTGTTTGTCCAATGGTGTTGTGCAGATTAAACATTTCTGGGTTTTTTTCCTCTCACACAGGAATTCAGAGACCCCATTCTTGCTCTTCTTCTCATTTATTCAAGTCCACACAGGAGTTTTTGCCTCTCCTCTCTTCAGGGGAAGGAGCCAACATGGCCTCTATGGTGATGCTGTCATGGAAGTAGACTGGAGTGTAGGTACTGAAGGACTTTGCATTTTAACAGAAATAATCTAAACCTATTGATGATACATAGAGATTTGTCTTCACTCAGTATTTGGAGCCTACCCAAACCAGTTTACAAATATTGATGTTATGGCTATCCCTTTTCCCTAAAAAAGAATAAAATCCTACTACCCCAGAAAAAAAAACAAAGAAAAAAAATAATGTTGACAACCAGTTTTGCTGAGCACTGACTTCCATTGTTTGGAAAAACAAAGTATTATTTATTGTTTTGTTTTAATGTGAATAATTTCTTTAAGGCTGCAACTTCATAGTTTAATCATTCTCCACCCAGAAATTAAATGCGTGTGTCATGACCAAATTTCCTCCATCGGCCCTTACTTTCTGGCCTCCCAATCATCCCCATCCACCAAATTGGCTGTCACTAGTATCACTGTCTCTCCACTACCCCAATAGCTGGTGTGTGGTGAGCACACTGGCACTGTTGTCCTGTGGCTGCCGTTGCATCATCCAAGTGGATGCTGCACACTGGTGGGGGTGCATGTGGAGAGACCCCTTATGATGGGCATAAAGCTTATGAAGCGCTTTGGGTGTATGGGCATACACGATAATTTTTTTATTATTTTAATTACACGATTAATTATTTACTTACCCTGTGCTATCCCATAATGCATGTGTATGGATCTCCAAACTTGATGCATAAAAAAACACAAAGTAAAAATGTTGCTATAACCCCAGTATACCCAGTAAAGGTGTAAAAATCTACTAAAAAATACTTTTTTACCCTTTGTTCTAACCAGCCATCTTAATATTCATAAGTAGATTCAAAAGTGTGATGTGATCTTACAGTGTAGCCTACATCATAATTTTAGAACTGGTTGTCAACCGGAACTGCTCCTTTAAGCTGTTTTCGCCTATGATTAAGATATTCTTTTATATTTCGATTTGCTAAATTTATCCTCTAGGAAGCTGAGTCGTGAAGGGATTTATCACAAACCGATGAGCATGCCACTTAAAAGAGCAGAATGAATGGTTTCTAAAAATGTCTGTGAAGCATTTTTTACCTTATAAGTGCAGTAGGGACATTGTTTATAGCACAGAATGGATACTGTCATCACTGTTAGAAAAGAGTGATCATTTGAAAGCGAAGGACGGTACTCTTAGTCATGTTGGAGTGTTTGGGGAAATAAACAAAAGGAATATATTTTCTGCCTGTTGCAAACAATACCCTGCATATAACCATATAAGTAGATGTGTATATTAAATCCTTGGGTCCTAGATAATTTATATATATTTTCTTTAGAAATACAAGCGTAGGCATGATTTATATTTGTCATTATGCTAGCATCAGCATTAAAGCACAAGCTTTGTTTCTAAATAACACAATTTAAATATAATTTTGTTGTTTTTTAAGATCAAAAGTTATATATACAGTGAGTAAAATAAGTATTGAGCACATCATGATTTTAAATGTGGTAAATATATTTCTAAAGGAGCTGTTGACAGATTTTTTGTAAAAACTTAAACAATCGAATCATATAAACATACTTTTTTTTTCAAGAAAGCATAGTTATGTGTTTTAACAATAGAATGCTACAAGAAGTAAGTACTGAACTATTGAAAAGTATTTTGTACTGTATACAATTTTATATATATATATATATATGTATATATATATATATATATATATATATATATATATATATATATATATTTTTTTTTTTTTTTTTTTTTTTTTTTTTTTGGTAATGCCAGCTTCAAGATGCTTCTTCTATGAAGATTGAAGTTGCAGGCATTGCTCAGCAGCTGTGATTTTTCCCCAGACTTTAACTGAGTTTAAAAATCTTGAAAATTCTGTCAGGCTCATTTATCACCTCTGATATTTAGTTCTTATTCATTGGATTCAAGTCAGGTGACTGGACGGGCTATTCGCATTCATTCATTTATTCATCACAATGGATTAAACCACCAGCTTATCCAGCATGTGTTTTACACAGCGGATGCCCTTTCAGCTACAACCCAGCACTGGGAAACACCCATACACTTTTGAATCCATACCCAGATATACAACATGCAAACTCCACAAAGAAATGCCAGCTGACTCAGCCGGGGCTTGAACCAGCGGCCTTCTTGCTGTGAGGTGACAGCGCTACTCATTGCGCCACCGCGTCACCCCACTGGGCCTATCTATCGGCTTTAATTTCTTTCTCTGAAACCATTTGAGATTTGACTTGGCTGTGTTTGGATCATTGTCTTGCTAGAATATCCATCTTTTGACAATATAGGTATTGAGACTGAAGAAGCATGAGAGATGAGAAAATCTCTCTGTGAGAGATTTAATCTTCTGTCTGGGCTTTTCTTGCCTTGTTACACCTCCCTTTCTTCATGTGTTCAATACTGTTTCTCTCTGTCCTTTCATCTTTCTAAATGAATTAATTTTATTCTTGGAAGGTATGGGTTAATTTGGTTATTACCAACATCTGCAGGACCTTTAGAAATATGTCTTCTGAGAAATAGTATAAAACACTATAAATAGTTGTTTTTGATGGAAAAAAGTCTTATTTTACAACCATTTTACTTCCAATATTTCATGCTGCAGTTTTTGTAAACTGATTTCTTCATCAGAAGTCACCATTTGCTCACCCTAATGCTATTCCATACTAAAAGGTTAATAATCATTTAGTTTGTCATATCACAGTGAGTTATAAACTCATTTAAAAACTATATGAAATAAAAAAAAAAGCTTCAAAAAGCATGATTGCAAAAAAAGATGAATCACAACACCATATGCTACAATAACAGTGATCTACAGAGAGTGTACTCTTAGGCTTCTATTATTTTACAATACGGACAATAGGGTTATCTACAACCAAAGTCTGACTAGAATTTATAGTGCACATTAAGTGGCTTGAAAAGAACTGCTGTGTAGAATAAGCTTCCATCATTACTAGATCTGGCTATACAACAACAACCTGAAAGAGACAACTAAAGACACACTCCATCTCTTAAACCAAGGGTAATCAGAACACTTTCTAGAAATCCTTTCCACCTTATTTTGCAATAGGCTATTTTCTGTTAATGTGTTAAGAAGACTGCTGATTTATTTACAACAATGGGTAAATGACTAGGAATAACAAATGACACTAAACAGTCAAACTACTTGCACTACAAAGCAGTTTGTTTATGACAATACATTAAACTAAGATGGTTATAAATACCAGCTTGCAACATCAAGCTGCATAACAAGCTGTTTGGTACAGTTTAAATCCCACACATTTTTTTGTCTAACACATTAACATTGACATCTGTATGTAACATAAATAAAATAATAAAAATGATTTTCATTTCTGCTGGTTTGGCATGTTGATCAAATTTTGTTTTCTTTTTTTTTTTTTTTTACTGTAAGCTGTTTATATTAGAGAGTGATGTAAATGGTCTGCAAGATAATACCATAAGAAATACCACAAGGCTCAAATACCGTGAGAAAAATCAATACAGCTTTGCACTGGAAACTATATGTTTTTCGCTAGTTATAGCTAAATGTTGCACCAGAATGTTTTTAGTATTTTAATATTGATCTAACTGTCAGCCTGTCTTCTTACTGTTGTTGCTGTTTTCAGGTCAGATCATGCAGACTCTGGAGCGCTTAAACTTGAAGGACAACACTCTAGTGTACATGACCTCAGATCAGGGGCCTCACCTGGAAGAGATTTCAGTCCACGGAGAGATGCATGGGGGCTATAGCGGCATATACAAAGGTATTTTATCTAAGGGCTTTTCCCAGGCTTATGCCTTTTTCCCCCAAACTCCCTAAACTTATTTTAAAAGACATCCCACTACAGTTTTCAACTGAAATGAACACTAGAGGCAGTGAAGCATAAATAACATAATTAGCTATATAAAGTTGCAGGCACTTGTTTGAAAATGTTATCAAGTGAAAATGCTTTTAAAAATAATACCAAAAATGTATTTTATTTATCAATCAGCATTTGGACTTTTGTGGTTACAACTCCTTTTGTCCTTGGTATATTTGTGCATAGTCATTCAAGTATTTTTGTAGTCACGACTCTTGAAGTGGTTGGGAGAATTTGCCACAGTTTTTCTGTATTAAGTCTGTCTGAGTTTTCTGTTTCTTCATGTGCTGCTGTCAGACTCTTTGTGCATACGGAAATCTCACTGGATTATTACAATTAACAGCAAAAATTATATTCGGAAATGTAAATGGGTAATTCCCGTTGATACCTTACACCAACAGAAATAAATAATCAACTTAAAACCATTCTTGTTGGTGAAAATACCATTGGTCTTTGGCATTTGCACTGTACATTCTAACATATATTTAGACATGGCTTTTTCAATAAAATGTCCTTGCTTGATAAATACCTGGTATAACGTTTTGCTTTACATTACATGTTTTCATCTAGCAGATGCTTTCATCCAAAGCAACTTACAAATTATAAATGAAGCATTTCAAATGACAAGAGAGCATCACTTTATAAAGGCCATGACAAGTCTACAAGTACATGACAATTTAGAATAAAACACACCCACCCATGCCCACTCACCTGCTTGAAGGATGTGATACTCACAGTTGTACAATATTTTCCCAGAAACTGGGAGAGTGTTTATAAGAAAGTTTCTGGTGCATATGGAGAGGTGGTTTGTCAAGCCCACTCACCTGTGTGAAGTACAATCAGAATAACACAGTGTTTTCTAGAAAAAAAAAAAAATGTTTATAACCGAATTCACTTATAATGCAGAATACTCTTGTAAAATATGGATGAACACATATATAGTTGAAATATAGTAAAACAAAAATAATATTTGCATTTGAAGCAGTTCAAATACATAAAACATTTTAAAATACCTTTTATAGCATCATTCAAGTAGGGGTGGGAATCTTTTGTAGAGTCTTTTCTTTTATTTAAATATTTATCTTTGTCCAAATTAATCAAATTCAACAGCACGTGTATGTTAACGCTTATTACTTTTCCTGATTTTAGCTCTCACCTGTGCTGACATGCACCTTCACAATCTAATTTGTATACTGAATCGCTACTCAAAAGTTCAGAATTACTAAAATAAGAATCACGATGCATCTATGAATCAATTTACTCCTCACCCCTACACATTTTACATGAGCCTTGGTTACAGTTTTTCTCAGTAGCTTTGGCACATTTCTCAGATCAAAATTGAAATTTGCAAACCAGTGAGTGCATTTCTCAAAAAAGAGTGCATAAATCGCTAAACACCATGGATTTCCTCCAAAAGCCAGCCTCTTGCTCAAAATCCTTAATTCAACCTTTAGAACAAAATTTCTTTGTCAATTAATGTGTCAGTGTCATCAGAATGACAAGTTCTGCGGTCATTGTGTATGGATAATACTGTCAAATTACTTCGTCATGTTGTCAATATACTGTAACAGTGTACTCTGGAGGAGTGTTCTGATGTAAACGATGGCTAATTTTATGCCTTTGTACTGTAATTTCTAGACAGATCATGTCATTGTGATACAAAAAGGAAAAGACAGCACTGCATAGCACAAAGAAAAACAAAACAAAAGTAGAAATTTGAACATAGGACAACCTCCTTTCAGATACACCTTTTTAGAAAAAGCCAAGATTCACCTGTGAGAAATTTACCAATTTACCAAAAATGCATTATGACAAAATAGTATGAGAATTTGTTCAGCCATTTTGCATGTAAAGACTTATGCAATAAACACAGGATTAAATATTGTGGGGGGTGAGACTATTCAACAGAAACCAAAATAATACATTTTGATCAGCTTGGCATAAGCAACTGATAATGTAGGAAACATCAGAGAACTGCACATAATCATTTGCATAGATGTACAAAAGCATTTGCAACTGGTTCAAAGGAATGAGAAACTGCTTTTCTTATGTGCACAAGTGACACAATGATCTGAAGATTGAACAGGTAGTTTTGAGAATTTCTATTCTGATCAGAGAAATGGACCAAAGCGACTGAGGAAAACTGTAATATAGTCCTGAGGACCGGTTCGCCAACTCGTGAACAAAGCATTTTTGTTATGAAATGAGCAATGACAGTGTTTAAATTCACTCCCTCTGCCTCTCTGTGCCCCGTCTTGTGCAGCTGGCAAGTCAACTAACTGGGAAGGAGGAATCCGAATTCCGGGCATTCTTAGTTGGCCAGGTGTCTTACCCGCCGGGAATATCATCGATGAGCCCACTAGTAACATGGATATTTTCCCTACGGTCTTGAATTTAGCTGGTGCTTCCATACCCGATGACAGGTGAGAATGTGTCGCCTAGCAACAAGATCTGCCAGTCAAAGGTCTGGTTACCGAGGCAGCAGATGCAGGTACAATAGATGCTTCTTACTCAGAGGTAGATTGAAATGTTTGGATGAGCAAAAGTCAATAGCTTGGAATGTGCTTTCGCTTGCTTAATAAGATGAACATTCCTAGCAGGTCATTAGTAACAGAATAATGACGTTTTGTGTTATGGCCACCCAAACCACTAAATGGACTCAATAACTGGGCTAGTAATTGCAGTGCATCGCCATTTGTTTCTATTTCAGAGTCATCGATGGTCATGATCTTTTGCCACTTCTGCAAGGGCAAGTGAAGCGTTCTGAACATGAACTCTTGTTTCATTACTGCAATGCTGAACTGAATGCTGTCAGATGGCGCCCACCCAACAGTGAGTCCTAATTTCACCACACTCATCTATCTCCTCTTTTATAAAATACCAGTTACGAAAACGAATGGAATGTGTTATTCATAAAGTGTATATTTTATATAATTTGTCAGACAGACAGACAGACAGACAGACAGATAGATAGATAGATAGATAGATAGATAGATAGATAGATAGATAGATAGATAGATAGATAGATAGATAGATAGATAGATAGATAGATAGATAGATAGATAGATAGATAGATAGATAGATAGTGCAGATGAAAAATACAATTTATATTGACTTAAAAGTCAACATCATTTTGTGCTCTACTCTGTAAGTTTTCCATTATGCCTAACTTGATTTTTCGATAAATAGAAAGAACATTAAACACAAATCAAATATCTACTTTAATGCTTGAAATTACTTTTTTTAATATGAGTAAAATAATTTTCCACCATCAGTCAAACAATTTTGACAAATGAATTAGGGATTATGCAAAATTTGCTTGTATTTTGAATAAATTGTTTTCTTGTCAAAGTTCAAAATTGCTCAAAATTCTGCTCTGTGGATATTCTGATCATGTACACATACTTAAATATCCATGAACCACACACACATGCTCAATGTAAAAGCAAAGTACGCTCAAATGACGGGACTATCTCTATGTAGTGTTGTTGTTTCTGCTTCTTACCGCAACTACAGCCTAGCACCTCAAATGTAACACATGAATTTTAATGATATTACATATAAATATACTTTCTAAATAATTTAAACTATTAAATTCAGGGAATAAGCCGAAGGAAAGGGAAAGTGAAAGTGATAAACTCTTATTAGCGATGTATAAATTATTTTATTTTTTTTCAGTGTGGAATGTATATCAGGCTACTCAATTCAACTGGACTTAATATTTTTACGGTTCGAATTGTTGACTGACTAGTAGTTTATTTGTCACTTTGGAATAAAGAGTCGCCTAAATTACAGGAAAAGTTATCTTCTGTAGACACAAGAGAACTAACCGAGTTAGTGGCTCCATCTAGTGGTGGAGTGTGAATCTGTCCGAGACTCCCGACATTGGAGTACAAAATATGAGTAGCAATGTTCGTTTATTTCATTTGACTTTTATTCCAATTCTATTTTTGCTGGTCAGAATTATTAAATGATAAAATTAGAATTTTTAGAATGAAAATATCTAAAATGGCTGCATTCAAAACCAAGATGAATCATACATCTAGGCTTTCTTTGTTAATAGAGAGAGAAAATAATAGAGGATAATTTACTGTTGAGTTTGAATAGAATGTTTGATTAGATTGCATTTTTTTTAGAGTGGGATATACACAAATTAAAATAAATTACTACAGTTTTGAGTCTTAAACGTATCTGTACAACAAAAATAGATTTAGCCTATAATGACAGTAATTACAGAGACCGCCTTGTGCGATTATGATGTTTGGAACAAGAATAAAGTACACAAGCCTCCTGCAGCCTACATATAACATCATTTGTATGCCGAATACGATATATAGCTCACGTTTCTGTCAAAACTAATATGATTGATCTGATTCTTTAATTGATGTAATCTAGTTAAATTTGCTTACAGCTCAGGATTTGAAGATCAGAATCACACATTAAGTTGAGATGCATCTTTGTGGCCAAATGTAAATGAAACCACTTTTGTTAAGGTTTGAAAAGGGCTGAGATTTTAGATAAAGTGCTTAAAAATGTAATTGTAATTGTACAAGTTTTTGTGTAAAGAGGTAATAATTATTACATATTTAAAAAAGATAATAAATTAGTGTAATTCAACTTTGGGGTTGGGGCCTTTAAAAATTGTCATTAAAATAATAGAACAATTAGCATTTAATGTAATGTGATGAAGTGATGAAATTTGCATTTAGAAGATATTAACATCCAAAGCTTTTTACCTCACCTCAGTTTCTCATCAAATCTTCTAACCAATCAAATGCTCTTTAGTATCTAACACGCCCCGCCCCCTTAAAAAAGCTTCTCAATTGTTATTATTTGATGCGCTTGTTATTAATCACTCTCAATGGCAGACCTGTAATAAAACTGCTATTGGCTGTTTTTTTTTTTTTTTTTTTAATGGGAGGAGCTACTTTATGCTCTGCCCTGTCTTAATGTTTTGGTTGAGATGACGTCAAACATTGAATGGAAAAATAAATACACATTACAAAGCACTTTACATGACCTTCAAAGAATTTTGTAGTTAAGGATCGAGAAATGAACAGATGAACTCTAGCTTTCTGCTTTTTCCTAGGTAGTGCAATTTGGAAGGCCTTTTTCTTTACCCCTGACTTCTACCCAAAGAACAGCTCGGCATGTTTCCACACTCATGTCTGCTTCTGCATCAAGCCATTCGTCACGTTTCATGATCCTCCGCTGCTTTATGACCTATCCAAAGACCCAACAGAAAGCACCCCCCTGAGTCCCGACACCGAGCCTCAGTTCCACTCAGTTCTAGAGGTCATAAGAGCCGCAGTAAGCCGTCATACACAGAGCCTGAAACCTGTCCCAGTGCAGGTCTCTCCTCTGAAAATAGTGTGGAAGCCTTGGCTCCAGCCCTGCTGTTCTTCTCTCAGTCAGCTGTGCAGGTGTGAACGAGATCATCAGATAGAGAAGGTACAGGACGGGCTTCAAAAAGAATAGTCTGCTGCTCAGAATCATAAGGGCATGTAATACGTAAAGGAATAGTTCCCTCAAAGCTGAAAAATTCTTTCATCATTTTCAAACCTTTCAAATGTTGTTTTAAAACTTTTTCTTCTGTGGAACATAAAAAATATAAAAATACTATGAAGAATGTTAATAATAATCTGATGGTTTTGGTGATCATTGGCATGTTCCAAGAAGAAAAACAAACAAACAAACAATGCATTGTAGGGCTGCACGATTCTGGCTAAAATGAGAATCACATTTTTTTTTTTTTTTACTTAAAATCAAGTGCACACTATTCCCACGATTCTGTAGATGATAAATAAAGGCTAATTTGAGTAGGCTATTATTATTGTTATTCACAAAAATATGGTAAAACAACAATAATAATATTAGGCCTATGTGTAAGTCTACTGTTGGTTAAATTGCGAAATTTTAAATGAACTTTAAATGGTGGACTTGAACAGATTTTTAATTTATCGTGGTTTGTATGCACAGTAAAGTGATGGCATCAGAATACAACTATTCATAATTATTAAGTTCAATTATTTTGTTTGAGACATATGCTTGCAATCTGTCGTTGAAATCATTATTTTATTCACTGGTGAAATCAGACATTTCATCACCTTGGAATTGTAAGGTTCTATCTACATTCTGAATGATTTTGAGATATTGAGCTTTTTAATAAAAGGTCCTAAAATGTAAACAAATGTAAAAAAAAAAAAAAAAAAATCCCATAATGTAAATAAGTTGTCATTAAATAAGAATATGTCAATCACTCAATTTTGACAAAAATGCCAGATAGAACCTTATAATTCTAAGTGACGATTTGTCATTATCAGATTCCCTCATGCATTTTATTTAATATATAGGCTAGAGTAGTTATAGTCACACTCTGCTCGCTATGAAAGAAAAAAAACAAAAACAAATCAAATGTTTGTAGTAATCATAACTCTAAAAAGTGATATGATCATTTAAATGATGTGCGTGTTTTTGTTTTCACTTTTCACTGAAGAGTGCGCTCATGTCATGGCTGCCGTCACTTTGAAAAAAAAAAAAAAAAAAACATACATGGAAATCATACGTCTCATGCGGCTCTCAAACGATTGCTCTGTGTAACAAACTAAACGTTATTTACAACTTTATTACCTGTTATTTACAGCCTATGCAGGTTCTATTCACTAATGTAGACTTCATTCGCAAGCATGCACTCGTCCTCTCAGGAGTAAACAGTTTGTTTTTTTGTCTTTACATTAAAAAGAAACTACATTTTTGGGTGAATTATATATTATAAATACAGTATGTCACTCTTTCAACGCCATTTGGAGGTGATGAGCTATGTATGTAAAACAATGTAAAGACTTGTGTGACATCTTTTACGCTTCTCTCCTGAACTTATATAATGATATAATTGGCTGAATTGTAGAGATGCTGGATTAAGATCATGTGGGGGGTTGATTTGAGATTTGAGATCAAGATTAATCGTGCAGCCCTACTGCATTGTAAACATTACTTTTTTCTTTAATTTTACTGTGAACACCATATGGGCATTGAAAGTGGCGCCTCTGAAAACAGCCAATTCTCATGCTCTGTGTACTATCATTCTACCATGGTACGGCAACTGGGTTTCTTGACTATTATGCCAGAATGAGAATATAGTTCCTAATAATATTGGCCTACAAAATAGTCGTTTTAATCTTTTTTTTTATTTTCCATCGGTTTTATTACATGATGTAACTAGTGAAGCCTAAAGCTTTAAATGGGACAATATCAAATCTCCTTTTTACATTTTTTTTCAACAAAATGCTAAAGGTCAAATACTATTCAGTTCATTAAGCTAAGCTAAAAGTAAAATGGTTCAATTCAACTGTTTAACTTTAGGAGACTTGTAAAATGAGCCTTTTTCAAAAATGAGGTTGAATGTTTCTTATTATATATATTTATGCAGTTAAAGTCAGAATTATTAGCCCCCCTGAATTATTAGACCGCTTGTTTATTCTTTCCCCAACTTCTGTTTAACAGAAAGAAGATTTTTTTCAATACATTTCTAAACATAATAGTTCTAAAAACTAATTTCTAATAATGGATTTTATTTTATCTTTGCCATGATGACAGTAAATAATATTTTACTAGATATTTTTCAAGACACTTCTATACAGCTTAAATGACATATAAATGCTTAACTAGGTTCATTAGGTTAACTAGCCAAGTTATTGTATAATGATGGTTTGTTCTATAGATTATCAAGAAAAAATATAGCTTAAAGGGGCTAATAATTTTGTCCTAAAATTTTGTCCTAAAATAAAAACTGCTTTTATTCTAGCCAAAATAAAAAAAACAAGACTTTTCCAGAAAAAAAAAATATATATATTATCAAGCATACTGTAAAAATGTTGTTACTCTGTTAAACATCATTTGGAAAATATAAAAAAAAAGAAATAAAAATTCAAATTTTGTTTTTTCATATCCTTTTTATCTTCATTTTGATACATTTTTGTTGGTAAATAATTTGTTTAATTAACAAGCGGATCAAATAAAATCAAGCGGAGTGAAGTGCTTTTAAAAACAAAGCCCACTGCCATGCTTCTGCAGCCTCTATCAAAATGCAAGAACAAACCATAATAAAAAAAGAGTAAATTATACCAAATTGTTCAGCTTTGTAGGAACCATACTTTTAAAAAGATGTGTTCATGACTTGTTGTAATTGTGGTAATTATGAGATTTCAAGATGTAAAAAGTGTTTATGTCCTTTCAGAACTCATAATTACATCTCGCAAATGGGGAATAATTTGAGAGAGATGGTACAGCCGTCACAGTAAATTGATTCAGGCACTATATTTAGACATGCTGTACATATTTTTACATAGAATGTCATCTCAAAATCATGCCATTGTTTGGCTAATTTTCACAAACAAAATGGTGTCAATTTTCAAGTTGACCAACCAGAAATAGCTGTGTTTTTGCATTGCTGTACATCTGTTCATAAACTATGAGCTTGTTTTTTTTTTTTTTTAAATTGGCTCAAATGTTTATGGAGTGACCTCTCCTAAATGAGATAAATGTACATTTTTACTATAAAAAATATAAAGAGCCTTGCTATACAGAGGTTTAAAGGTAACGGGAAAAATAAATAAAAAACATACTCCTCACAAGTTTGTATCACAAGATCTAAGGTCATCTGTGGCAACAGTGTTTGTAAGCGCAGGCAGGTTCTCTGTCCAGAGGTCTGTATTCCTCCTAGTCTGGAGATGCATCATCCTACAGTATTACAACAGTGTAAGGTCAGGGATTTTGTGAAGCAGTAATTACTACCTTTATGCTCGTAAGCTTTGATCTAGCCTGCAAACGGTAACGACTCAACACCCATAATGCCTCTTACAGGCTTTGGAGCACTGAGGGTTTTTTTGTGGTATTTTTGGTATCCAATCTGTTTTGCTTATTTTTGTGACTAATCAGGCTTTGCTGAATGGTTTGCCAGACTTAAGAGGCTCTCCATGCTCTCAACATCATGTTCATTACACTAATCTCATCACATTTAAAACTGGTCTGTGTCAGGAAATAAAATAAAAAAAACAAGATGTTTTGCTTATTTTTCAAGAGCCAGATGTGATATTCATTGGAATTATAAGATACTTTATGGCTTGATGTATTTATCTCATTCTCTGGAATATTTAGAGTTTTGCGAATCAGATATTGACAAAATTTGCCTGGCTAAATTTCATAAATGTCAGCTTTTGATCCTTAACTAATGTTTACTTTTCACTGCATCATTTTCCGAAGCTTTCTTGATTATCTACAGTCCTGAAATATCAGTGCAGTTTTTAAAAATGATTTCAAGTTGCCGTTTTTTGGAATATGATCAAACAATCTTACTAGCATCTCTTTGAATCAGATTTGAAAACATTTTGACCACTTCTTACAGCATATCTACTAAACTGCATCACATTTATGTGAACAGATACACTGACTTTTAAAGATCTAGTTAAAAGAGCAGATGGCGGTACCCAGGGGAGCCTTGAAAGCGATTGAGCATGGGGCTCCTCAAACCGAAGGAGATCCAGGCTTATGTCAAAATAGACAAGTTCAATCATTCTGATTTTCCGGGCACTTTTGCAGAGGGGAGAGATCAATCAGTTGCATTATGGGAGGCCTGCTTGACTTAAAATGATCAAAGGTAACAGAAGGGATGGATAGAAGAGAAGAGATAGATTTCTCAAATTTGTAGAAACTTTATTTGTAATGAGTTTTTGGAAGTTGGAAAATGTAACGTTTGAGTGTTCTTTTTCAGCAATGAATGACTCAATAATAATGATAAAACTTTGTTTCAGCAGTTCAGTCATTTAATACGATTAAAATTTTTGCTATTTTTATAATTGCTTTTGAATAATATATTAAAATATAATAAAAAATATTATGAGAAAGAGTTACAGTGAAGCATACTGGCAATATAATTGCATGCACACTTGAAAATAATATTAGTACATAAAATGTAAGTAAAATTCATAATATGTTAGTTAATTAACTAATATTAATTCAGGGTGATGCGGTGGCGCAGTAGTGCTGTATCCTCACAGCTAGAAGGTCATTGGTTCGAGCCTCGGCCGTTGTGTATGTATGTGAATGAGTGTATGGGTGTTCCCCAGTGATGGGTTGCAGCTGGAAGGGCATCTGCTGCGTAAAACATATCCTAAATAAGTTGGCGGTTTATTCTGTTGGCGACCTCAGATTAATAAAGGAGCTAAGCCGAAAAAAAAAAATTAATGAATAAATAATTCCTATTTAAGGGGCGGCACCGCAGCTCAGCGTTTAGCACTGTTGCCTCACAGCAATAAGGTCACTGATTCGAGTTCCGGCTGGGCCAGTTGGCATTTATGTGTGGAGTTTGCATGTTCTCCCCGTGTTCACAAGGGTTTCCTCCGGGTGATCTGGTTTCCCCCACAAGCCCAAAGACATGCGGTACAGGTGAATTGGGTAAGCTAAATTGTCCTTAGTGTATGTGTGTCAATGAGTGTGTATATGGATGTTTCCTAGTGAGGGGTTGCAGCTAGAAGGGCATCCGCCGTGTAAAACATATGCTGGATAAGTTTGCGAATTCATTCCACTGTGGCGACCCCAGATTAAAAAAGGGACTAAGCCGAAAAGAAAATAAATAAATAATTTCTATTTAGGGGGTGCCTCACAGCAAAAAGGTTGCTGATTCGAATCCCGACTGGGCCAGTTGGCATTTCTGTGTGGAGTTTGTATGTTCTCCCCGTGTTCACGTAGGTTTCCTCCTGGTGCACCGGTTTCCTTCACAAGTCCAAAGACGTGGTACAGGTGAATTGAATCAATTAAATTGGCCGTAGTGTCATTTTTTTTTTCTCAACACATTTCTAAACATAATAGTTTAAATAACGCAACTATAATAACTGATTTATTTTATCTTTGTCATGATGACAGTGAATAATATTTTACTAGATATTTTTCAAAACACTTCTATACAGCTTAAAGTGGCGTTTAAAGGAATAACTATTAATTAGGTTAACTAGGCAGGATATGGTAACAGGGTAATTAGGCAAGTCATTGT